TTATATTTGGAATTTTAGCTGAACATTAAAAACAAATCGATACATATTACGCCATCTGTTATAATATTTTGTAACTAATTTTTATTTTGTTCGTAATGAGACCCAATGGTTTTAATGTTGCTTTGAAAGTCAATATCGATTATTAGTTTCATTTTATGTATTAGATGTTGATTGTAAATATTTTATATTTTGACCATACGTGATTGTGTAGTAAAATATTTAATAAATTTATATATATTTATAATATTTTAAAACAAGTATTGCGTTCGAGCTCTTTATTATATACCAGATATATAATATATTGGATTACATATATAAATTAGGTTTACATATTGTTTTAAATACTTACATTAATATTTAATCAAGATATTTTATTTATTTAAAATTATTAATAACAAATAAAATTATACCTTTAATATGGCAGCACTGACTAGAATCAAAAGCACGGATGACAAACCCAAAAGTAATTAGAGTCTATGTCTAAACTCTAAAGTCTTTCTTCTTTATAAAAAAAAAAATTAAACTTTTGGCAGTTGCCAGTTTTCAGTTTATTTTAATTTAGAAAACAAACGATTTCGTATACAAATAAATAATTAATTGAATAAGGATAATAGGAATGGCTTGATACTGTTAAGAATTTAAACTCGTATATGCCTATATAAAATTTGTGGAAAATTTTAACTCTTAAAGATAAGTGAACTGTGAAAATAATTTGAAAACATGTCTAATGGAAACAAACAAACGAAACGAGAGGTACGACTTAAATATCTAAATTTTCTTTCCATATTTATTGTGTACTATTTTTTTAAATGCCATGATATTGTCTGTTTACTATTTAGCAACATATTTATAAAAATATAGTAATATTTTTTTAACAAAAATAATATTTTCACTTTTTAAGATTCCTTCAATTGAACTTGTGCAAGAGCTAGAAGCTGTAAGAAGATTGGTAAAGAGTCTGAAGGAATATTTAGAAAACCTTAGAATTTTCAGAAAAAATTTAAGGGAGGTGAATGCAAATTGTGAACAACTAATAAAAGTTAACTTACTATGGATTGACATAGTTAATAATATGAATGACATAAGAACTGTGCCATATGCTATATAGTGAAATTAATTTTAATAAGTAGGCCTATATGATGCGAGGTGGTTTATCAATTCTAGAAATAAATTTATAAAGATAACTTTTACAAAATGTTTTATTTAGTATACTTTTCATACTTTGTATTCAATTTATATTCAGTCACTTTATCACTGATTAATCACACTTCACTGTTTGTTTTTATTTACTCACTGTACTTCACTGATAAGAAACTGATACTCAAACCCCCAAGGGACCTGCTTTATATACCCCTATCAATGGGTAACCTCGCCCATATCTTCAAAAGCATGCCCTAAAACAATTTATGCATACACATGTGAGCGATAGTTACTTTTTATATCAGAATTCAATCAATAGTCTTTAAAAAAGGAGGGACAAAGAATAACATTTTGAAAAGCAAAATGTTATTCTTTGTCATATATGTCATATTCCTTTAGTAAATACTTCATTTACTTTATTGGTTAAAGGATAGAAACGAGATCAACAGTTTTTCGCTTTAAAGGAGAGTAAAGCTTTACACAAAAGAAGCATTACTTTACTTTGGAATGTGCAATTTTAGAAGCAGCAATGAGTATTTCGTTGACCAGCAACTTAAGTCACATACTTGTACTTTGCAAAGTGTCGCAGTGGAACGCAGCTAGCCTTAATTAAGACTGCCGTTTGTGGATAATTCTCTAGTTTTCATTAGACTTAGTCTAGAATATATTTTTACTAAACTCAGCATAATTTACTCAAAAATTTTTTTAAATATGTGGAGTAATTAAGTTATTGCTATACTATATTTGTTGAAAGATAAGTATGCACTGTTGTAAAATTTAACGCGCTTGTGAAAACATACATACGTTACGACAAACATAAAATCTTTGTCGAATTTAACTTAAATAAAATACTAATTAAGTACCTACATTTTACGCCAAAAAGTTTAGGTATCCAAAAAAAAATACAATCCAAAAGATAATTTTCTTCTTTTAGAATATTTTTTTGTGTTGGGATATTAACACACAGCACCATCTAGTTCCATGGTAAGCTACGAGGTTTGTCTTATGGATACCAGGTAGTTGATACGCTATACATATATAACTTTAAACGCATACATATTAAAATATATTTATGTTGATCGTATTAATTTTTCCACAAATTTTGCCAATGTGAAACCTTAAACAGGATTTCAATACGTATATAAATATTTTATACACGTTTCGAACTACTATTAGGAATGCAAAGCTTGTTAGTGAATATTAGTTACTTCTTTACGCTAATATGGCTGGTCTGATTTGGATGAAATTTTGTACACAGACTATGGCAAGGTAGGCAAGACACTTGGGCTACTTTTATACATACATATATACAACACATACAAGCTTGTTTTTTTTTGGAACATTAACACAACACCATTTAGTTCCATGGTAAGCTAGGAGGTTTGTTTTATGATTAACAGATAATTGATACACTACCTATAGTTATATCAACTTTGAATACATACATAATAGAAATATAAACATCCATGACTGGAGTATAAATATTCGTGCTCATTACACAAATGAATTCCCCCAGCGGGACTCGAACCCGCGAATGCTAGCACAGCAAGTACAACACTACAAACTGAGCCAAACGTGTCGTGAAATTCTATCTCTTAACTAATCTTTCGGATTACGATAATAATGCGGTAAACTGTACGATCCAGAGCCATGGGTAAAATCTAGGAAATATAAATAATCAGCAATAAGTCAGTAAATATCTGCTATTTGATGTAGTATAGACTCTTGAAGTTACGTTACTTGCTCTATATTGACTCTAGAATACAAGTACTTAGCAGCAGTCTCTACTGTCTATTTGCTTTGTAGCAGCTTTGCAGCGCTTAGCTCTTACAAATTACTATACTGGGTATTTAAAGGAGATAAACATTTCATTTGAATTTCGTAAATATTTACTTCACAGTATATATCTACGTCGACGTTGTTGAAAAAAAAAAGAATATTTTGCCTTATTTAATTAAACATATACCTATATTAGGGTACATGAATAAATGTTCTATAATATGTTCTTTTACTAGTAGAATTATATATATATATATAATATATATATATATATATATATATATATATATATATATAATATATATATATAATATTAAAAAAGCATAATTAATTTATTTATTCACCATTGGACGGGACTCGAGTTCGCAATCTTCAAAGAAACGTTTGTAATTTGCTTTAATAACTAGGTCGCGTTTAAACTATTTTAAAACCATACGAAGAGATATTGAAAAGTTCTACTATCCACCTCCTTTTTCCATCGTCAAATGAGCTCATAGGTACCAAATATATTTTCAAATCTAGATTTCATTTACTTACACAGCTTCAAATCAACAAAATAGTTGGATGTAGGAGAAAATCGACTTCTAAAACTTAACTACTAAATAATGTGTAAATAATATAAAAACTCACCCTCGTTAAGCTCGGGTTCGTCCCTAAGTTGCTTCCACATACAAACTTTCATCCCCATTTTTACCCCCTTAAAGGATGAATTTCGGGATAAAACTATTATATGTCCTTTCCAAGGCCTCAAACTATCCACTTACCAAATTTCACCTAAATCGGTTCAGTAATTTCGGAGTTCTATTCATATATGTATATTAAGTTTTCCTCAAATTTTCAATAATGATCATAATCGAATTTCGACCACTGGGCGAACACTATACTTTGTGTAAAGTCATATCTGATTTACCACAATTCATATCTACAGTTTGCGTTTAACTCTTACTTGCACAAAACAAGGATTAAAAATGATGCAGTTTATAAGCTCTTTACTGCTTAGTAGTTCGTTTTAAGCCATTTAACATTACTGAAGTTCAGTAACTTTCGTTACCGGTGTGTTCTCGTAGATGAGATAGAACTTTTCCAACTTGTAATGGAATTTCAAATATATTTGAGAAGCTTATTCATTGATTCTATTTGTATTTTGTATACTAACGACATACTCTTGCTTAGACTTGAGCTTTTAAGTGCGACCATGTAAAGCAGAGAATATATAACAATCATGTATTTTGAAATAAATACAATTAAGAAGCAGACAAAGACGCAGGAGAAACATAGCAATTAATAATATAAGATCTTTTTGGATTATTTTCATAATTTAGAATATCTTTTATTAGATACAAACTAGTATTTGTTAAGTACAGGTTTCATACTCAAGGGACCCTATTTCAATTAGGCTTAGATCTTGCGGTGCACGAAGAATACACTACGTAATCCGTCTAGATTTTTAGCTCACTCGGGGATTATTACGTTCTTAATATGATATTCCTAATTTGAATTGAGTTCAATCATATTTTCTTTCGATCAATTCTATTCATTTAATATAATATGCACAGTAATATAAGCTCTGTAATATTGATATTTATTTTATAAATATTTTATTACTAGCGATTTTCCCTTCCTTTGCTTCGAGTTCATCACTAGACAAAAACAAATCTATCCCACGGGACCGTATATTTTATCGGAATAAAAAGTAACCTATGTGCTGTTCCAGACTATAATCTATCTCTGTGCTAAATTTCATCCAGATCCGTTCAGCCGTTCTGGCGTGAAAGAGTAACAAACATCCATCCATCCAGCCTCACAAACTTTCACATTTATAATATTAATATGGGATTTTGGAGCGCTCCTTGCTTCACTGGGGTGCAGCTCTAGATACCTAACAGTAGTTTATGTGCTATTCCAGGTCATATTGTATCTGTGTACTAAAGATTACCCAAATCGGTCCACCCGTTACGGCTTGAAAGAGTAATAATCATACATATATATTTATACTAGCGGACTAATAATAATGTCCTCCCGACCAATTTCGGCCACGCAGCAAATCTCATTGAGACTAGCCAACTGCGCAGGAGATATTATAGTGCACAAGTGTACACGCAGACACAAGTGCACTCTCTATTCCTGTCACTCTCGTACTCCGGTGGGACGACTGCTCGACACGACCGGTGAGAGTTAGGCGCAGGATCGACGGCTTTATGTGCTCTCCGAGGCACGGGGGTGTAACACCGCCAACTTACCAATTCCAGGCTGTTACTGAGGCTTACTAAACAGAAATACTCAATTACTAAACTTAGCTACTAAGGTTAAGGTGGGCGTACCCGTCAATTTTTTTGATATAGTGCTATTTAACGTACGATAATAGGATAGGTAGCATGCAAGTTTTATCGAATAGTTAGAGATTTATTATTGATCATAGCAGAGTTACAGTCTGTAAGTTAAGTATAAGAATGCCAATATTTGTATTAATAAGTGTGTATGTATGTATGTATATATGTATGTATATATGTCAATAATTTACTATCGATAGACTTTATTAGGTAGTTTCGTTTGTATCGTCAGTAGAGATGGCGTAAAATTCTTGTACTTGGACGAGATCTGCAATCAAAATGCAAGTTTATGCGATCACACGTAAAACAATACAGGTTCTGTAAAAAATTCGTATAAAACTGATATTTTAGTGTTTGGAAAATATTATGAAAACTTATTTAATATAACAAAAAATGGTAACCATTGGTTTTTTATTAGTTGTATCTAAAGTATATATCCTTTGTTCTTATAGTTGTACAAAAGCATTATGAATAAATTCACTTAATTTGCTGTCTGGAAATTCTGAAGGTCTTCTTTTAATATATTATTACGTTTTATCTTAGTTTTCTATTATCACTTATTTTGGTTATAAAATATTTAATTGTTTCTCGTAAAGATCTGAGAACCATTAATAATTAAAGATATAATCCACGCACGAGGTAGCGCGACGTCTACATTAAATATATTATTACACGGTTTATCTCTATAGTCCAGGAGGCAGCGTTGCAAAGGATAAAATCATTTAATTTTTTTATTGTATTTTTTTCATTTTATTTATTTATACATTTTTAGTTTTTTTTTACTAGGATAATAACGTAAAGATTGTTCTTCTCTTTATATGTTGTATCTTCTCTTTAATCTAATTGACTAAATGCAGTAAAAATAAAGCAAGAAAATTATTTCAATAGGTAGTCTTGAATTTTCGGAAGTTGTAATTTTAGACAGCTGTGTTCTCAAAAATATTTCAACTTACGCCGAAAACACACATATAATAGTTTTGATGGGAATGAGGAGAAAATTATATCTATTTAACGAGAAACTTTAGTCAAAGACAAACATGTAGACATACATAATATGTAAATTAGTTAACACCAATATTGATGAGCTGTGGACAGAAAACGCTTATATTGGATTTTTTGTTAATGGAAAGGTATTTAACGTGAAATTCTGAGGTAGGTTGGTATAGTCTTATAATATACTAGCGACTAACCCTCGCTCCGATGAGATATTTTCCTGTAGTAAAAAGTATCCTATATATTAACCCGGATAACCAGCTATCATCTTACTAAATATCATCAAAATCTGTCTAGTGGTTTTCTCCAGATCCACAGATCCAGATCCAGATACACAGACAGGCAAAAATTCTAAATACTATAGATTCAGCCTCGGTATCGATAATAATTACTACTTCAATTTCCCAAAAAAATATTTCATGTACAGATTCGTCTCAGGTACAATTTTATTTTAGTATACATTTATCTATCTATCCCAGGGTGTAATCTATGTCCTTGCCAAATTTTAGCTAAATCTGTTCAGCAGTTGAAGCGTTTATAACATTAGTATGGATTACGAGTCTTGTATAAAATTCAAAACGTAGCAATCTGAAAAGTTGTGAGCAAACAAGAAGGTGAGGTATTTACGCTAAACGACCGGAACCGTTAAATAATTCACAAACGCTTAAACATTTAATGCGGGACACCGAGGGTGACAATCCGCTTACGTTGTTTGAGGAATCATTACTGCGCTACCTTGAGTTACGTGCTCGATACTCGTTAACGAGCTCGTTAAATAATAATTTATATGACAAACCAAATTATTAGAATCTTAATACGTTAATATTTATAGTTTAGTTAGTGTATCAAACATTTTGAGATTGAAGTAATATGACTATGATATAACCACAATAGAGGGCGATTGAACCCGTTTTATTTAATATTATAGTTCTGAATGATTATGTGTATGGTTATTGTTCTATAGCTTTTGATGCCATTTATAACTTTTTATTTTTTTTATTTCTTCCTTTTTCATTAATGAGTTTGATAATGAAACATTTCTTGCATGCAATTTTGACAATTATTTTTAAATAGACTTATTTTATAAGTACAAGATTATTGTTCGTTTTTCATTTTCTTTTGACGATACGTTTGGCTCAATTTGTAGTTACTTGCTGTGACCCTACTTGCTGTGTCAGAGGTCGCGGGTTCGAGTCCCACTGGGAGCATTCATTTGTGTGATGAACACGAATATTTGTACTCCAGTCGTGGATGTGTGTATTTATAATATGTTGTATGTATTTAAAGTTATATATTATGTGTAGTGTATCAACTATCTGGTATTCATAGCACAAGCCTCATAGCTTACCATGGAACAAGACGGTGCTGTGTGTTAATGTCCCAAGATATTTATTTATTTACTCATAGTTTTCTCTTTAACATTAACAATATGTCTTAAAACGTTGTTATTCGGTTCATAAAAAGTGTTACATTCAAAAGTCACACCTTGACTAATGGGTTTTTTGATTCATTACATTTACAAGAGCGTAAGTTTTAATTATTGCAATACGTAAAATGAAATAAAAAAAATAATGACTGATTTGGAGATCGCAGATTTGATTACGCGTAGGGGTAAATTCGTACAGATAAAGAATCAGTGAATTTATCTCGACAATTACGGCTTGCTCATACCACAAAATAAAAAGTATGTCATATAATATTATTATTTACATAGTTTTATTTATATTTTTTTATTAAATCTTAAAAAGTTAATGTACAATCCATTATAATGTTCTCTCATATTATTTTCTACTTAGTTTTAAAAGAAGTAGAAAGGTTTTTCTATATAAAATTTAAATCTAGCTGAGATTTTTAACAAAAAGCTAAAGCTCTTCGTGAGCTTTAACATATAGTGTTATAATTTCATCAGTGAAATTTGTTTTAAAACTTTATTAGCGAAATAAATGGTAACTTAAGTTGTATGCTGGCACTACAGTCTTAATTAACTAGCATATTATATGTCGTAATTCACATTTAACCCATAAATATATATTACGGGTGAAAAAATAAGATAATTCTAAAAAAAAATTCAATTTCATATAATATTTGCCCAATTTACTGTACAATTGTATGTTAAGACTTACATTGGTCAATAGACGCAAGGAGTGGTAACGAGGGGTGAATCCGATTAACGCTATGTTACCGTCGGGACTGCTGTTTCGGATAAGCTAGTTTTACGGTTTAGGCGTTCCTAGAAAGGGCGGATTTGGGTCAGAGTGTGTAACATGATAAATGTCAAGAAAAGGTATTGATGTAAAAAATATTTACTATTTTCGGCCTCCATCGTCTAACCTAAGGTCACATGTCGTGTGGGCGTTTTAAAGAAATTATTTTATGCTATATACTAATCCAGGTCATCTGTAGACTAAATTTTACCCAAATCCGTTTAACCCTTTAAGCGTCAAGAAGTAACATACATACAAGCTTTCGCAGTTAGATTTTTTTTACGTCTAATAATATAAAACAAAGTACGTCCAATATAACAACATTATATTGTGAGTTATGTAAGTGATAGATTCAATTGTGCTCCATTTTCAGATAACTCCAATTAAATTATCTGTTCTACGGATATTAGTATCAGACGAGATTTTGCTAATTTTAAGCTACTGATGTAACAAACATGATTGGTCTTGTGTTTAATGGTTTCTAGTATACAGGCTATAGATATCGATTTATCGACTTAAGTAAGAAAGGCGTCGTGGCAAGAAAAAAAAGAGCAGCGAGTTTTTAGGATGACCCATAATTTTAGTTTTTGGATGGCTAATATTTGTATATATATATATATATATATAAAATGTGAATAATAATAATAATAATAATAATAATAATAACTGGGTCTTGTTAATTTATACTTATAGAAGGAAACGTGTAAATAACAATGATTGATTCATAATATTATAAGCATTTACTGCGAAACCGGCTCGCTTGGCAGCGTAGCATATTTGTTTGTTGTATGTTTGATTTTTCATTGGGATTAATGTTTAAACTTAAGACATTAAATAAGAGTTTTTTGAGTTATTTATATATAACTCAAAAAAAAACAAACTCAGGAATACTATTAAAGTATTGCTACTTAGCTTTAAATTTTGACGATCAATCTGATTGTCTAAGTTATAAGTTAGCTAATAATGACTTATCAATAAAACTACTTGAAACTAAAACATATTTCATTCCATTAGTGTATTGCTGAAGCCATATAGTGTGCAATCGGACAGTTAATTATTATTAATACCAGTCGGAACGTACTTATAAGTTTAAGCGGATGTAATGTTATATCAACTCTACTTTATTATTTCTATAATATTCCACAATTTATATAAGAGAAACAATAGAATAAAATGATTTTCTAAGATCAAATTGATATTATATAGGCACCAAAGTAGTAAGGCTGTAGCTGTTAGGGATAATGTACTACTAGGATGAAAAGATGCAACCAGTCTCAGGAGTTTAGGCGGGCACCCAATACTCTCAAGCGCCGTGTACAAGCCCTTTCTGCTGACCGTATCGAAGGCCTTATTAAGGTCAACGAAAGCTACTACTAAGGGACAGTTTTGTTCTCGACACTTCTCCTGTATTTGGCGAAGTGTGAAAATCATATCCACTGTCGAACGGTTGGAGCGGAAACCACATTGTGACTCAGGATAGATACGTTCAGCAAGCTTTTGGAGTCTTGATAGAACGACTAGACCAAAAAGCTTGCCAACTATGCTCAAAAGAGAGATACCGCGAAAATTGTTACAGTCGCCGCGATCACCTTTCCCTTTGTATAATGTGATGATGTTAGCGTCCCGCATATCCTGAGGCACATGCCCCGCTTCCCAACATTTGCACAATAGATTATGCAGGATTGGTTTCACACATTCGAGCTTTAATATTTCAGCATGGATGCCGTCGCCGCCGGGACTCTTACCGCGCTTAAGCCGATTGACAGCCTTGGTGAAATCCTCTACAGACGGTAGATCATCTAACTCATTCAATACACCCAGTTTTGGTATGCTCTGTGTCGCCTCCGGATGTATGATTACTGGACTTGAGTAGAGATCGGTATAGTGCTCGACCCAACGATCAAGCTGTTTTTGGCTGTCAACAATGACAGTGCCATTTGCGTCCTTTAGAGGGGCTGTCTTTTTTGAAACGGGTCCGAGAACGCGTTTAATACCCTCATATACACCACCTATGTTTCCACTGTCCGCACACATCTGTATATTGCGACCAAGATCCGACCAGTATAAGTTGGCAAAGTATCGTGTACTTCGTTGAAGAGAAGTTTTAGCTGTTCGAAGTGCTTTATCAGTTACTGGACAGGGATTCATACGGTGCCTAAGTGCGGCATTCCGCTTTGAGTCTAAAAGAGGTTGTAGGTACTCAACGTTGTCCTCGAACCAGTCCTGAGACTTGGTCCTCACACATCCGAAAACCTCAGTGGCGCTATCAGTCAGTAGTTATTTTGCTTTATTCCACTCGACGCCTATCGGTGTATTGGCATCCCAATCAGCAAGTTCTTTATTTGCCAAGCACTCAAACTGTCGGACTTTTTCATCATCCCGGGTATTAGAAAGATTTATCTTCCTCCTACCCGGCGTTTTAGATGAATGTATCCTTTTATGAGCTATGGCAACTTGTGCTGCTACCAGAGAGTGGTCGGTGTCACAGTCGGCGCTATGGAATGTACGAGTGTGAAGGAAATCGCGGAGGTCTTTAGATCTCGTTAGTATCACGTCTAATTGATGCCAGTGGCCTGATCGCGGGTGCTTCCAAGACACTTTTCGGGACAGCTTGCCCTTAAAATATGTATTGGTTACGCATAGCAGGTATTCAGAACAGAACTCCAGTAAACGTCGGCCATTGTCATTAATATTGCCGATTCCATGGTAACCAATACAATCAGGCCATGCGGAATGATCCCGTCCCACCCGGGAATTGAAGTCACCCAAGATGTACAGGCGATCACTACTAGAAACAGTTTTCACCGTCTCGGTCAGTTGGTTATAAAAATACTCTTTTGACTCGTCCGAAGATTTTAATGTCGGAGCATAAGCAGCAATTAGGGTAACATGACCGAGACTGCTCTTTAGTCTTAAGACCATTATGCGTTCCGAAACGCCGCATAGAGTTTCAATGGCGGAAAGTATATCGTTTCGGACCGCAAAACCAACACCGTGTTCACGAGCATCGCCAAAGTCTTTTCCTTTCCAAAAGAACTTGTAAGAGGACTCCTGCAATGAGCCTTCGTCGGGTAATCTGGTCTCTTGCAAAGCGCAGACAGAGATGTTAAGCCTGCTCAGCTCTGCATCTATCACGGCAGTTTTACGCAGATGTTGTGCGTATCCGTAACCTCCACAGGTGTCCGGGAGGCCTGTCCTCATAGTACGGACATTCCATGTTGCAATGCGCATGGCTTGGCGAGGCGGGTTTTTATAAAACTGCTTTGTAAAACCAGGTGTGGAAGTTAACGACACCAGCCGTCTAGCCAGGAGCTAGTGCTCCCTACACCTCAAGGGAGCAAGCTGGCAACGGGACGGATTGGTACCTTATTGTCCGGGGGCTGCCCAGATTGAAGCGGGCGGTAACCAATCGATGGGCCTTCGATGGACCCTCCCACTGTCGAAAGTGACCCCTAGCGCCTGCACTTACGCCCATCTGTGCAAGACTTATAACTGGTAACTGCCACTTCCCGTGTTGTTGTCCATACAGCTACGCTGCCGTGGGTGGAGTGACCTCTCCACAGACATTACACCGCCTGGGACGGAATTAAGGAAACACAGGGATGCCCAGCACCTGCATTACCCTCTCGGCCTCGTTGGCTTATCCCACAGGAAAGGCGAGCCAATACGTGTGGAGCCAAGTCGGCTGCAGAAATCTGCCGCATATTTCGGGTTGGACCCTACTCGCGTCTTACGGTGATTCCGCTCCGGGTTTTATTTTGGAATTTTCCTTCTCCTAGATGGGTTGCAAACCAATGCTTAGAGGCCCATCTCCCCTACACTGAAGCGTAGATAATAGCTTCGTTTGTTTATGAACTTAGTCGCCTTTTACGACACCCTCGTCCTTTGTCAGGGTTGGTGCTATTCTTGAGCCGAACACCACACGGTTAGGATAATGTACACAGTATCTATAATTGGACAATGGTAACGCGCTCGCTTATTAAACTAAGTTAATCTGGTTCAAAGTCATATATTTTCATGTGTGAGTCATGTTCAAAATCTTATCACTTATATCAGCTTTATGATATAGGAAAATAGCATAACAGACATGTCTTAGAAAACCTACTAGTTTTCGAAGGTTACGTGTAGTCTGTGAATTTGTACTTGGCCAGCGTGTGTTGGACTAGGGATCCATCTCGCATTAAAAATAAGCCCAGAAGAGTGTCCATCAGTAAATCATTTAAAAGTCTGAATTACAATCTATACAGATAAATAACATTGAAGTGTCAAAATAACAGCATTTTACTAAATGCATATGAAATTATATACGGTACATATAAAAACACATTTTTTTAAATTTTTGTCTATCTGTCTGTCTGTTTGTTCCGGATATTCTCTGAAATAGCTGAACTGATTTTGACGGCACTTTCACTGGCAGATAGCTGATGTTATAGGGAGTAACATAGGCTACTTTTATTTTAGAAAAAGAATTAGGGTCCCGCTCAAAAAAATTAAAACATAATCGCTAGTATTATTATAAAAAAGTCATAATTGGGTGTAGGCTGTAGGGTGGTATTAACTATTGCTGATATAATAATTAACTAGCAGATACTTCTGAAGCACGCATGTACAATATATTTAAATCCACATACATATTTTACATCTTTTTTATGTTAGATTGGATTTAATTGCGTCTGTCATTTTATAGTGAATCTGGGCCGTTTCTGGAGTGTTCTTGGAACGCACTCAGTCCACTTTATATTTACATACAGTGTTTTAGTTGGTTATCGAAAGACATGTGAAGTCTTTCCAACCCAAACATGACCAGCCTAAGGTGGATTATGGCCTGATCCCCCTCGTTTTAGAAGGCCTGTGCCCATCAGTGAGACGTTAAATAGGGCTGAATACGAATATATCAGTGCATATTGTTATGTTTATTTTGGTGTATGTAAGGCCTAAGTATCATTTCTTATAACTTTTTTTATCTATTTAAAAATAAACTTGAAATTATTTACATGAGTTATTATAATCCTTTTTATACTACGAATCTATGAGAATATGAAATTTTAGTAATAAGGTTTAGTTTTGTTTTGGCCTTTGTAAGAAGTCCTTAATTTTATTTACTACAATGTAATTAGACTAGCTCTCAACTCAAAGATGGAAAAGTGTTACGTTGAAGACTTTAATGCAATTATAAATTTAACTTACTTTACTAAACACGGTATTTCTGCTCCAATTCTTTTAAGGCAAAGTTTATTCTAACCCTTTACATTAAAATCGAAATTTTGGTTAAAAAAAGTATAATCTTAAATTTGGTTTTTACAATCATTTTCATTACGTATAATACATACATATTAATTTAGAGACAACGTACGTTTGTAAACTGACCTTTTTTAACTGCAATTTAGTAAAGGATCGACATATTACAGTCAGTTATAGTTGTTGGGCACGGAAATGAGATTATATTTAATCATATAAAGTGATTTCTGTAATATATATAATAAGCTATTGAATTATAAAGACGTAGTTACTGCCAGATTTGAGTAAATGAAGAACAAAGGCATTATACTACCCAAATTTCACACAAATTCTTACTACGGAGCCATTATTATTTGTAATTTTACCATTTTCAATTTTATAATTTCGTTCAACATCATTATAAAGATTTGCATTAAAAAATGCAATGAAATATTAACATACGTCGAGGTCAGAAATCAGCACACAGAGTTGTTTAAATCTTTGATCATAGAATCCTATTACAGGCTCGTTCGGCTCTCTCCATGAATAAAATATTAGGCGGCAGCTCTCTGAGGGATAGTCGCGTTAAAACTCCAAACTGATGTTCTGCTATAACTTGGCATTCTTGTAGGCTACGAAGACACGAAACTTTCCAAGTTTTATGCTTTACCAATAATTCGTTTCTTAATAAACGTTATATTATTCAATAAATGATTCATCCTCGCTCCGCTTGGTTTTGTCTCTGGTTACGTTTTAGCGTTTAACTGAGAAATAAGATATTTTCCCGCAGCAAAAAGTATTCTATATGTTGACCCGGATAACCAGATATCATCATACTAAATTTTATCAAAATGTTTTCAGTGGTTTTTTCGTGATGTAGTCACAGATAGACAGACAAAAATTCTGAAAACTATAGATTCGGCCTTTGCATCAATAATAATGTCTATTTCAATACGATTTTCCAAAAAATATCGAATATACAGATTCGGCTTAGAATTTTATTATATGTATAAATTAAAAGTATGTTTGAGGTTTAGATTTTCAATTCATTTGTTTCAAGTCATATAGCTAATATGAAATTTCATACTTCGTCCTATGGACACTTTTTATTGTAATAACTAACTGCCTCGGTGGTGTAGTGGCTAGCATGTACGGCTGCACACCCGGAGGTCCTGGGTTCGAGTCCCGGGTCGGGCCAAGTTTAGTTATTGAGTCTTTCTGTATAGTAAGTCTCAGTAACAGCCCGAAGTTGGGCAGTTGCCGGTGTTCCATCCCCGTGCCTCGGAGAGCACGTAAAGCCGTCGGTCCTGCGCCTCAACTCTCACCGGTCGTGTCGAGTGGTCGTCCCACCGGAGTATGAGAGTGATAGGAATAGAGAGTGCACTTGTGTCTGCGCGTACACTTATGCACTATAATATCTCCTGCGCAGTTGGCTAATCTCAATGAGATTGGCCGCCGTAGCTGGAGTCGGCTAGGAGAACATCATCATCATCATTGTAATAAGCAGATCAAGTCTAGATTACACTCTTTGTAGGTAATCCGAACATTGGGATAGAAATAAAGGAAAAGAAACAATTGACATTAAGCTTATAAAAAAAACTAGATTTTTCGCCAGCAACAGATATACATACAACATTTTTATAACATTGCTGACTAAAATGCATTTGACTAAAACTAAGTATAATTAATGATATCTTATATTTTTTTAAGTAGGTTGATAATTTACTTACCTAATAATTTTTTGCCAACATTTTCATCTCGTGGGTCCACTTTGTTTTTGCCACAAAAGAAATAATATTCATGGTAATTGGAAATGACAACAAAATGCTGATGCTAAAAAATATATTTACTTGTTGGTACAACGAAAAAGTAAATTAATTTATTGATTACAAACGCTCCATTGGATTCCAATGCGTTGTTTTAATATAGGAATTGACTTTCTATTAATATTGTTTTATTATGTAGTTTTTTAACTTTTTCCTATAGAAATCTTAAGCGTAAAGTTTGTACGTGATTTTATAAATGCAAATCTTTTACTTTATATATATTAATATTAATAAAGTAGAATGATTTTTTTGTTTGTTTGTACCGAATGGGCTCCGAAACTACTGAACCTGAAGTAACCTAGGGATGAACCCGAGTGAAACGAGGGTGAGTGGCTAGTTTTATTCTTTATTGAATCAGTTCGAAAATCTAAAATCAGTTCAATAAAATCATTAATATATTTATTTATAAACTAAAATATTCATTATAAGCAGATTTTTGAGTGACATCTAAATGATATTATTAAATTGTAATATGAGATTCATTCAGTGGAAACTGGGAACGTCTAGGAATTTCAAACTGTCGCCTGAGAAATTAATTTATGAGGCAATAAGCTGCAGTGTTTGAATTACAGTTGCCCAGCAGTCTGAGAAACGGTTGCGTTCAGTTCGAATTACCCTTGTAAATGATTTAGCTGTTCATACCTAAAAGCGTAAATAGTTTTGTGACTACTTTTTAATTTGGCAACGTAAAATAAGGTTTTTTAGTAATAATATAAGAATACGTGTAATTTCTTTATTCTGGTATATAAAAGTAAATATATATAAAATTAATATATATGTTAGTTTTAATGTATATATGCTATGGGCCTCTGTTTACATATTTAAGATCCTTTTGTAAATATTGCCTGAAATAAATGATTAAATAAATAAAAAAAAAATATATACAATTATACAAAAATATTCATTGTGGTGTGGAACGTACATATATATAAATTATGAAGTCATAATTTGAAAATCAAAGACAGTATTTATTGACACTTTACATTGCTGTTAACAGCAAGACTAAAAATAATATTATATATAGCATATAATATACTATTTAGGATTTTTTTAACAGTTTTCAAAATGAATTAACATTATTTTTAAAAGAGTAACTGGAAGAGAGTAATCTCTGCAGAACTGTCCTCCGAGCTTGTGGTAGCTTTTTGCACAAAATTAATTTAGTTTAAGCTAAATCCTAGCCTAATC